TTTGAATGAAAGGTCGTCTGGGGCGTTGTAGTCTTCAAAGAGTTAAGGTTCTTCATACACCTTAAACCCCTTATGATCTTCGAATAAGTGATTGTTGCAAGAATTAGGATATTTTATTTATTTTAAAAACAATTGCTTCCGCCTTTTTACAGCTGACTACATAATATAGCTGCTTAGAGACTAGTAACCAGAAAGTTTGTGTTTCCACAAATATTTTTATAATTTAATCCGTTTTGTGACAAAAGTTTTCGTCATGTTTACACCTTGCGCACATATTTTAAAAATGGCTAATGGTATATACTTGAAATTGGATGGAAGTCTTTATATGGGCACTAATTTATAAATGAACCAAAAATCTGATGAATATTTTAATATTAAAAATTTTTATGCACGAAAATATTACAGATTTTTTTAATGAAATACATTTTATAAAAACAACTCCAAATAATAATAAAAGAAAATTAACATGAAATTCTTAGAATTTTCGGTTCACGGTAGTTTCCAAATGTTATAAAAGCTATATATTAAGTATGGAATTAAATTATGCAACAGAGTATTTCAAACTGTGCGCGGAAGGTAGAAACATGACGAAAAATTTTGTCACAAAGCGAATTAAATTATAAAATTATTTGTGGCAACACAAACTTTCTGATGACTATTTCAGAAAGCAGCTACATTATGTAGTCACCTGTAAAAGGTTGAAGTGATTGCTTTTGAAATAAATAAGTTATCCCAATTCTTGCAACAGTCACATATTCGAAGATCTTATGGGTTTTAAGGTGTATGAGTCCCCTTAAAAGGGCGTTACGCTAACCACCCAGAGACGATTGATGCCTTGAAACACGAAATCGAAGTTGCCGTTCGTGCGATTGGAAGCTAAACAATCGAAAATGTGCTGAAAAATTGTATTGATCGTATGGGGTACTGTCAAGAGAGCCGTGGCAGATATTTGAATGATGTGTTTCAATCTTAAATGAAAAAATGTCCAATCTTTCTAATAAACTCATAATTTTGAAAAAATCTTTATTAGTTTTTTTTTTTTTTTTTTTTTTTTTTTAAATAACCGATTCGAATTCCAAAAGTTAGATGTCCCACCCTATAGTCTCTTCCATTCCACTACCTTCTTGTTAAGTAACTTAAATTCTTCTTAAATAACAGCACTGAAGTAGTTATAATTTTTCATTATTAATTACACAATAAAAGACTCAACATCATGTGTGGATAAAGTGTCAAAATTCATTTCTTGTTTCGAAGTACGTAGCGTATTCGGAAACTAAGTACCGTTTCATTCTAGCGCCGTCGCTGCGCTATGGTAGGCGTCCGGCGCATGCGCACTAGTCTTTCTTGTTCACTGACTTTCAATTGACGCCATTTTGGTTGCTCTATGTTGTGTTTTCAGTTTGCTGTGCACATTCAAAATGTTTAAGACAATTAGTTCTCCCGCTGACTGTGAGATTCGTGCCGTGATTAAATTTTGAACGCGAGGAATGTTTTAAACCGGCCGAAAAAATTTATCGTCAAGTGACAGAAGTTTACGGTGAATACGCGATAAGTGATGGAATGGTGAGAAAGTGGGTAAGAATGTTTAATGCGGGTCGAACAAATGTCCACGCCGAAGCTCGGAGTGGTCGGCCTTCTGTTGTCACCGATGATTTGGTAAGGAAAGTTGATGAAGCAATTCATGAGAACAGACGCTTCACAATGACAACTCTTTCAGAGGCATTTCCGCAAATTTCACGTACTGTTTTGTTCGAAATTGTGTCTGACCGCTTGAATGATCGCAAACTGTGTTCCCGATGGGTTCCAAAAATGCTCACTGATGTTCACAAAACAAAGCGACTTGGTAGTGCCCTGACATTTCTCACGCGGTACAGTGATGAGGGAGAAAACGTTTTAAACCAAATTGTGACAGGTGATGAAACTTGGGTGTGTCATTTCACACTAGAATCGAACCACAATCACACCACAATCGATGGAGTGGAGACACACTCATTCTCCGAAAAAACAAAAGTTCAAAGTGAAAATGTCATCACAAAAAATCATGTGCACTGTCTTCTGGGATAGGAAAGGCGTTTTGCTTACTGAATTTCTTCCCAGAGGTGAAACCATTAATGCGGCACGATATTGTGAGACTTTAACAAAACTAAGGCGTGCCATTGCTCCATGACAATGCTCGGCCCCATACTGCTGGTGTCACTCAATCGTTAATTCGACAGTTTCATTGGGAGCAGTTCGATCACCCGCCGTACAGCCCGGACTTGGCGCCGTCCGACTATCACTTGTTCATGCACATGAAGCGCGAGCTTGGTGGCAAGCGCTTTGGATCTGACGATGACACGAAAAACGCCGTGGAGTCGTGGTTATCGAAACTGGCGGGAAGTTTCTTTGACGATGGTGTACAAAAACTGGTCACCCGCTATGACAAGTGTTTGATCATTGGCGCAAACTATGTTGAAAAATAGTTTAAGATATGTATTTTCATGTAAAAATAAAATTGGATTCGAATAAATTGTTTTACTTTTTTTTTTTTTTTCCCAAAACGGTACTTAGTTTCCGAATACGCCTCTACTTTCAATTGAACTTTGTGAACTATATTAAGTAAAGTAAGTAAAAGATAAAGAAAGCTAAAATTGGCAGATTTGGGTGGATGGAGAAGGCTTGAAGAAAATCTGCTTAACCGTTTTTTTTTTTTTTTTTTTTTTTTGGTTAATTTGTGCAGAAAATAAAACTGGAAGAATGATCCAAGGTCAGCATTGTATAGCAGTGCATATCGTTTCCTGCTATCAGTGTTGACACTTGCATTAATCTTTCAAATAACTCCACCGTTTTTGATGCAAGGTTCATAATAAGTAGTCAGAAATGTAAACATTATCTTAGTTTAATTATTAAACCACGCAGAAAAAGGCATGCTGTAAAATCTTCATGAATTTAATTCTGCCGCATAGACAGACCACTGTATACGGAACTATGAGTTTCATTAAAGAAGAAAAGTAAGTAAATGGAACTTCTATTGAAAATTCGAACGGTTTATTAGCAATGTTGTAGTTAAAAATATAGTAATTTTATTAGTAAGTAAGCGTAATATTTGTGAAATTGTTTCCAAAATATCCCTTTTTAGGAAATACTATAATTACGAAAATTTTCGGTTTTCAGATTTCAACGGAAATATTCATTTTAACCGTTCCCAAATCAATTGGAGTTTAGCCCACGAGGGCTATCAATTTCCTTTTGGCATTTTGCGTTGAAAACTTTAAATGCCAGTTCACTTTTCAAACTGTTGCCACCCAATATTACAGCCCTATAGTATATTTAAAGAAATTAAATAACGAAGAATCTGCATAAATGTATGTACGTTTCTCGCATTGTGATAAAATAACGGTACATAGAGCCATCCAGGTTTTGAAAAACGTAATCCTCCACCGAATATGGGCATTCGGAAGCCCTAATTTGGAATTTGTTTTATTATCGATTTCATATTTTGTAACACATTATTTATAACGCATATACTCATATTATGTAACATTTTTTTATTAAGAAATTCTACGATTTCAAAGCAAGCAATGGCGACACTGTACGGCGAAAAAAAATATCTCCAGCGCGCGAGACCGTGTATCGCAAATTATAAACAGAGCCTCATTTTAAAATTATTTTGCGATATTGCACTTGAATGAATTTTATGCTTTAAGTGCGAAGAACAGATAGTTAATAAATAAAGGTAACACACAAAATGTTAAAAAACGCCCTTTTGAGCATAATGCAAAATCTGACAGCTTTAGGATTTTAATTTTTTTTTTTTAATTTTAAGTAATTTTGACTAGATTATTATCATTCTTGAGATTCAGAATGTTCCTTGATGAAAAAAACCATGCGCGTCATCTGATCTCAGTTATTCCGAGCATTGTAGGATGATTCTTTTCTCTGAGAGCTCTGATATTTTTAAATCTTTTCAAATGCAACACTGTAGCTTTTTTGGCGATTTCTTCATCTCCAAATTAACAATATTAACTAAATTAATTAACACTAATCGTAAAATCATTGTTTTACGTAATTTAGAGCAGATTATTAACTTTCTAGTGATTCAAACTGTTCCGTGATGAAAACCATGCGCGTCATCTGATCTCAGATTTCCTGAGCATTGTAGGATGATTGTTTTCTCTGAGAACATTTACATTTTCCGGTCTTTCAAATGTAACTCCATTCTAGCTTTTTTTTATCACTCCTGGGTTTCAAAATGAATTAATTAAGTAGTCTGATCCTAAAAGCATCGTTTTACATAATTTAAACCAGATTATAAACTTTCTAGTGGTTCATAGTGTTCCTTGATGAAAACCATGCGCGTCATCTGATCTCAGATTTCCTGAGCATTGTAGGATGATTGTTTTCTCTGAGAATATTCACATTTTCTGGTCTTTCAAATGTAATTCCATTCCAGCTTTTTTTATCATTCCTCCGTTTCAAAATTAATTAACTAAATAGTCTGATCCTCAAAGCATCGTTTTACATAATTTAGACCAGATTATAAACTTTCTAGTGGTTCATAGTGTTCCTTGATGAAAACCATGCGCGTCATCTGATCTCAGATTTCCTGAGCATTGTAGGATAATTGTTTTCTCTGAGAACATTTACATTTTCCGGTCTTTCAAATGTAATTCCATTCTAGCTTTTTTTTTATCATTCCTCCGTTTCAAAATTAATTAATTAAATAGTCTGTTTATAAAAGCATCGTTTTACATAATTAGACAGATTATAAACTTTCTAGTGGTTCATAGTGTTCCTTGATGAAAACCATGCGCGTCATCTGATCTCAGATTTCCTGAGCATTGTAGGATGATTGTTTTCTCTGAGAACATTTACATTTTCCGGTCTTTCAAATGTAACTCCATTCTAGCTTTTTTTTTATCATTCCTCCGTTTCAAAATTAATTAACTAAATAGTCTGATCCTAAAAGCATCGTTTTACATAATTTAGACCAGATTATAAACTTTCTAGTGGTTCATAATGTTCCTTGATGAAAACCATGCGCGTCATCTGATGTCAGATTTACTGAGCATTGTAGGATGATTGTTTTCTCTGAGAACATTTACATTTTCCGGTCTTTCAAATGTAACTCCATTCTAGCTTTTTGTTTTATCATTCCTCCGTTTCAAAATTAATTAATTAAATAGTCTGATTCTAAAAGCATCGTTTTACATAATTTAGACCAGATTATAAACTTTCTAGTGGTTCATAGTGTTCCTTGATGAAAACCATGCGCGTCATCTGATCTCAGATTTCCTGAGCATTGTAGGATGATTGTTTCTCTGAGAACATTTACTTTTTCCGGTCTTTCAAATGTAACTCCATTTTAGCTTTTTTTTTTTTTTTTTTTTTATCATTCCTCCGTTTCAAAATTAATTAATTAAATCGTCAAACCATCGTTTTACATAATTTAGACCAGATAAACTTTCTAGTGATTCAATAGTGTTCCTTGATGAAAACCATGCGCGTCATCTGATCTCAGATTTCCTGAGCATGTAGGATGATTGTTTTCTCTGAGATTTTGCATTTACATTTTTCCGGGTTTTAAATTACAATGTCTTTCATTCTAGCTTTTTTTTTCATTCCTCGTTTCAAAATTAATTAATTAAATAGTCTGATTCTAAAAGCACCGTTTTACATAATTTTAGACCAGATTATAAACTTCTAGTGGATTCATAGTGTTCCTTGATGAAAACCATGCGCGTCATCTGATCTCAGATTTCGGAGCATTGTAGGATATTGTTTTCTCTGAGAACATTTACATTTTCCGTCTTTCAAATGTAATTCCATTCTAGCTTTTTTTTTATCATTCCTCGGTTTCAAAATTAATTAATTAAGTAGTCTGATATAAAAGCATCGTTTTATAATTTAGAGAGATAACTTCTAGTGGAATAGTGTTTCTTGATGAAAAACCATGCGCGTCATCTGATCTCAGATTTCTGAGCATTGTAGGATGATTGTTATCTCTGAGAAATTACATTTCCGGTCTTTCATTTAATGTAACCCATTTAGTTTTTTTTCATTCTCCGTTTCAAATTAATAATAAATAGTGATCTCAAAGCATCGTTTTACATAATTAACCAGATTATAAACTTCTAGTTTCATAGTGTTCCTTGATGAAAACCATGCGCGTCATCTGATCTCAGGTTTCGAGCATTGTAGGATGATTGTTTCTCTGAGAACATTTACATTTTCCGGTCTTTCAAAGTGTCCATTTTGCTTTTTTTTTTTTTTATTTTTCTTTTCAAAATTAATTAATTAAATAGTCTGATCCTAAAAGCATCGTTTTACATAATTTAAACCAGATTATAAACTTTCTAGTGGTTCATAGTGTTCCTTGATGAAAACCATGCGCGTCACCTTATTTCACATTTCCTGAGCATTGTAGGATGATTGTTTTTTCTGAAGACATTCACATTTTCCGATCTTTCAAATGTAACTCTATTCTAGCTTTTTTTGGTAATTTCTCCCTTTAAAATTTAATTAATTAAGTAGTCTGAACCTAAAAGCATCGTTTTACATAGTTTAGACCGGATTATTAACTTTCTAGTGGTTCATAGTGTTCCTTGATGAAAACCATGCCCGTCATCTCATCTCAGATTTTCTGAGATTTGTAAGATTATTGATTGTTTTCTCTAAGAGCACTAACATTTTCCGTTCTTCTATGCTGCTTTTAAAAATTTTGTAATTTTGCTGTTGATTTTTATGTGGCATAAATACGAAGAAAATGAATAAAAAAAAAAAAAATCTGAAATGTTTCAGATTTTAAATTACGTCCAAAGGGGCGTTTTTTAACATTTTGTGTGTTACCTTTCTTTATTAAATATCATGTTCCTCGCACTTAAACCATAAGATCCAGTGCAACAGCAATATCGCAAAATTTTTCAATACGAATAATACATACCACTTGGAGATAAAAATGTTTTTTCTGCACAACGTTGCCATTGCTCGCTTTGAAATCCTTGAGTTTGTTAATCAAAAATTCGTCAAAGTTTTAAAAAATAGGAAATCGATCATAAAACAAATTTCAAATTTCAAATTTGGTCTTCCACATGCTCATATTCGTTGGAGGATTACGTTATTCAAAATTCGATGACTCTATGTACCGTTGTTTTATCACAATACGAGAAATATACATACATTTATGCAGATTTTTCATTATTTAATTTCTTCAAATATAATGCAGGACTCTAACATTTTATGGCAACAGTTTGAAAAGTGAACCGACATTTATGAGTCCCACGCAAAATCGCAAAACGAAAACAATAGTCCTTCAGGGACAATCCCTTTGGACTAATAATAATAATAAAGCTTTATATATATATATATATATAAAGAGTAGAAGAAGAAGAGGAAGGGGGCGGCTTGAATGTGTATAACAGCGAAACAGCAAACTGTTAGACTGTGAACTCAGCGAGAAGTAAGAAAGTAAGAAACGTTCCTGGGAGATCATTAAAATCTGAAAGCTTTCAGATGTTTTTAAACGTATTTGTTTTTTTAATGTGCATTTTTTTTTACTATATAGCATTTTTTGAAGCAATGAAAATTATGATTTCTGATACAAAAAATTAATTGTTGAGTATTTGTTCTGATGTTCGAATCATTCCCTCATGCTCGGGTAGAATCTTTTTTTCTTGTGGACGGCAGACCTTTCTGTTTGGGAATATGTTACCTCTACCACTCAATTTTCGTCACACTTTAAGAAGCCATATTTCATAATGATCACCACTATTATTGACATTTAGTGAATGCATCGTTGGCGGCGCATGAAGTCCAAAATTAGTTGACCCCTAATAAATATATGCACTGGCAGATTCTGTACGCTTGAAAGCCTTGCTGATTTCATCGTACAATCGTTTTAATGTTCGCATAATTTTATTCCACTCGCAACGCTGAAGTGCTGTGCATCGCATGACTTTTTATCTTCATATTCCAGGGGTATTTTCGTCTGGCGCACATTGTTTTATTAATATGCTTTCCGTAAACATTACTAGATCAGTCATGATTTTAAAGTCATTATTCCAATATTCATTATTTAAAGTTATTATTAAAGCTTGGTGTCATTATTCCAAAAAAAATTCGAAATTTTAGCCCAAAGGACATTAGCCCAGAAGGGCTATTAATTAACAAATTAACAAAAATTAGAGCCCTGCATTATATTTCAAGAAATTACATAATGAAGAATCAAAAGACAACAGTAACTAACTTTAATTCAATTTTGAATAACGTAGTCCTCCATTCGAATATGAGCACCTGGAAGCCCAAATTTGGAATTCGGAATTGGTTTTATTACCTGTTTCATACTTTGTAAAGCTTTTATGAGTTTTTCATTAAAAAACTCAACGATTTCAAAGCGAGCAATGGCAACACTGTACGGGGGGGGGGATATATCTCCAGCGTGCGAGACTGTGTATCGGAAATTCTAAAGATTTGCTCTTTTTTAAATTATTCTACGATGTTGCTCTGATTTTTATGTTTTATGAAAATTAATAATATTTTAAATAACATACACAAAAAACGTTAAAAAGTCCCTTTACGTAATATAAAATCGATTTTTAATTGTTTCCTGATTTTATGATTTAGTGCAAAACATGATATTTGATAACAGGTACCTAAACTTAAAAAAAGACCCCTTCGGGCGTTTAAATTTTACGTTTTTCAACGAAAAATTCGAAACAAACTGAAATAAATTTTTTAAGGGATTTGTAAAGTCTGAAAAACAGTGGAACTTAGAAATTACGTTGTTCAGAATTTATTTATTAAAAACCCAAATGAGACTTTGTAAGACCATATTTTATTTTTCGAACAACAAACGAACGGCAAACTACTGTTGCCACATGTATTCGAATAAATATTTCTTTTTAGTCCAAAGGGAGTTGAATCCCGAAGGACTATTAGTTTCGTTTTGGCATTTTGCGTCGGTCTCATAAATGTCGGTTCACTTTTCAAACTGTTGCCACAAAATGTTAGAGTCCTGCATTATATTTGAAGAAATTAAATAATGAAAAATCTGCATAAATGTATGTATATTTCTCGTATTGTGATAATAAAACGGTACATAGAGTCATCGAATTTTGAATAACGTAATCCTCCAACGAAGGACCAAATTTGAAATTTGAAATTTGTTTTATGATCGATTTCCTATTTTTTAAAACTTTGACGAATTTTTGATTAACAAACTCAAGGATTTCAAAGCGAGCAATGGCAACGTTGTGCAGAAAAAACATTTTTATCTCCAGCGCGTGAGTCTCTGTATCGGAAATTCTAAAGATATGCTCGTTTTAAAACTATTTTGCGATATTGCTGTTGCACTGGATCTTATGGTTTAAGTGCGAGGAACATGATATTTAATAAAGAAAGGTAACACACAAAATGTTAAAAAACGCCCCTTTGGACGTAATTTAAAATCTGAAACATTTCAGATTTTTTTTTTTTTTTTTTTTTTTTTTTTTTTTTTTTATTTTTATTTTTAACAAATTTAACGAGGCTTACAGTGATATTGTTATAACTCTGGTAGAAAACAATCATATGAGAAAGAGGAAGCTAAATAAATTTTCGTGGTGTTTGGTGTATTTAATTATGCAACACACAGGGGCAACTGCCTAAAGGGAGGGATGCCTTTCGTGGAGACTTTCTAGGGACTGGTCGTATACACGTTACAATGGGGAAACCACGAAAACGCCCATCAGCCGCCGTTGCGGGTCGAACCTCCGACCGAACTACCAGTGTTCAGCGTCTTTACCGCTCGGCCGCTGGTGGGCCTAAACTTTTCGTATTACGGTGAAGAAAGTTTCGTTCAACTTTTGAGATAAACCCGCTTGGATTTTCCGAACTATGAAATCTTAACAGAAAGTAGTAGTAAATCAGTTACAGTGACAGTTATGAAGCAACTCTTATTTACGAAACCTTGAGTGTTGAAGTTCCGCGTATCTCTAGGCGTGATGAAAAGGGTGGAAAGAAGCATTTTCCGAACTGTTTACAAATTTCGATTTTATCTTTGGCCGTAGTTAGTTTTGCGTGAGTTGATCCTTCTTGATGATACGCTTGGTTTAAAACATTT